CATATGTAGTGGTAGTCCCATGATTTCATAATGCAACTGAAAATTTCTATCCCTGATATCATAGCCATCCTAAGGTCATAATATATAACACATTACTCATGTGTTTGTTTATACAAATATTAATCCTTATGTTATAATTGTCTACTGTATTCAGTACAGATTTTTAGCCTAGAAGCTGCAGTAGGCCATGCCCTATAGCCTAAATGTATGGTAGGCCATTGCCCAATCTGGGGTTGTATAAATAAGCTCTGATGTTCACACACACAAAAATCAAGTATTGATAAATGATGTACTTCTTAGAGAGTATCCCAGTTATGCAAGGCATGCTTCTATGCAGAGTCTCCATTGTTAATAGATGAGGCTCAACCATTTAGGTAGAATTTAACTTGCCTAATGCTTCAGCACAGTGGCCTGAAGAAGTATATTCAATGGCATTTATGGCGTATTTACATTTACTCAGTGTGATCTCAGTCATGGTGGGCAGAAATAAAACAAGACCCCCTTCCTCTCTAAAGTAGAGAATAAGCAGGCACCCACCCAGTGAATTCGTGCTCTGGCATAGCTTGTGAATGGGAGGTATAAGTCTATTTCTCTGATAGTTTTAGTTACAGTTTTCCTCTATTACTATAGGCGATTTTATTGCATTAAGTGTGATACTAGTGTTGAGAAAATATTTTTGGTCTATCACGGCCCAGGAACATATACCAGCTTCTCTGCATGTACATAGAATGACTTATTCAGTATTTTGTGCCTTACTTACAAGGAGATTTCAAAGACAGTCATAACTGTATGTGACTTAAGATGTAATTCCTATGTAAGATGATATAACTCCACTGTCTTCTTATATTCCAAATCTCTTTCTTTATAAGTTTTTCTCTTTTATCTCAGTAAAGCTGTTTTTAGGTCCTAGACATTGAATTCTGCATTCATTGTGAAGTTTCAGTGGCATATAACAATGAATATTCTGAAAAGGGTGGGTAACAGTCAAGGAGTTCCAAGGAACCTAATAATAGCTGATTAGCAAGTTTTTCTTTTTAAGATTGGCTAGAATGAGGCATTTTTCTCATTGACCTTTATGATAATTAAAGTGTTTTTTTTGTTTTTTTTTTTTTTAACTAGAAATAAAGCTGTTCAGCTTGAAAATGAGTTGGAGAATTTTACTAAGCAATTTCTACATTCAAGCAATGAGGAATCTTAAACAATAGAGGTTGCTTTGGTGAACGTCATGGGAGGAAATGGAACCTGGAAGATTGGGAGCGTTGTTATTTTTATGAAATGACTTCAATATGAATTATACTATAACTAAGTGGCAAATCCCTGTGTAGATTCTGGTAATGATCTATCCCAGGGTGTTTGCATTTCAGAAAAGTGTTAGGATATGTTCTTTGTTTTAATTTGGGATAAAGACTAAGTTTTTTGTGTTAAATAATGAATTAGTTAAAAACAACAGTACCAACTTTGTGACCCCTGAGGGGTGGGTCCTTGAGCTCTTTAATTGGGGCTTTCTTTGTTTTTGATTCTGAAAAACTCTGCTTCCTGGTATCCAGGAGTTAGAGAGTGATCCTTTCATCTTCTTTCTCAAAACTAATTTTTTGATGCCTTCTTTAATGGGAATAGTCAACTTTTTGTTTTGTTTTATAAGCTCCATTGCTCTAACCTCCAAGGAGTGTGGAATGTTCTTGAGTGTCCTGTTTATGCAGGTTACAATCATTCTTGCCATCATGGCAAGTATGTAAACCACTAATAAATATGCTGTTTTTACCCCTTCTTTTATTCCCATTAAAACTGATGTTATAAATTTGTTATTATAGTCACTTATAAAAGTATCTGAGTCTAAATAGTTTCTTTATCTGTTTTCTAAGAAATATTTTCAACTTTGCTCCAGTTAGGAGTCCAGTAAGGAAAGCTTTTCTATCTTAGTTGGAGGAATAGAGTTTGATGTGATGAAAATAGCCAAAGATATAGGAGGTCTGCATTTTGGCTGATAACAGTAATGTTTAAAAGCTATTTTTCAGAAGGCACTTGCCTAAGGTAACTGCTGGATTATACCCCACTGGAAGCTTTTACTTGTATTTAAGATATGAATTTGCTATGGCTCCATTAAAAATTAATACTGTAATTTTTTACCTTAATGAAATGTTCATGGATTCAAGTATTATATCTGCTTCTGTATGAAAAACTGATTGAAACTTATATGGGAATATTTTAAAATGACATCATTCTGGGATCTTGCTGTAAAAAATAAAGATCAGCATCACCTAGACGCTTGTTAAAATACAAATCCCTGGGAACATAGTGCATTTGGCCAGGTATGGTTTGATTCTTTTTTGTGGGAAGGTAACATTTCAGCCTTTTTTTCTTACATTAATACTCGATACTTCTTTCCTGTGCCTTTTAAGGCTCCTGAATACTAGTTGGTCTTTTCACAACACATAACTCTATTTTTCAAGATATTTGAAGGAAACAATAACATAATTTAGGCCATAGAAGCCTTTCCAAAACATTTGTTATGCAAGTCAGATATTAGGATGCATTATTCAAATTTAAATACAAGTGACTATTAGTTTTTACCATTTTTTGCTGATTTATAACCCCAGAAATGGTACAGGCAACCAAGTGGAATTAGGTGACAACTATAACAATTAGGTTTCTAAGATCGGGTGCTTACTGCTAATTTAGATTACAAGTTATATGAAAGTACTTGAATTGTTGGTATTACTTCATTAGTACAATACAGTGGTTCTTAAAGTTTGGTCCCTGGATCATCAATATCACTTCTGAGCTTATTATAAATATAGATTCTCAGGTCTCAATCCAGACTATAAAATCAGATACACTACATTTGGGGCCCTAGCAATTTTTTTCCTCTGTTACTGTATTATAGTTGTACATAATAGCTGAGCTCATTTTGACATCATTCAGGCATGGAATTTACTCCATTTTAGTCCTTGGTTTCCCTACTTTTCCTCCCTCCTCCTGTTAACCTTCCTTTACTCTACTGGGCTACCTTTCACTCATTTACTTTTAATTGGTGCTTTATAGATATAAATAAGGTGGCGTTCACTGTGGTCTGTACATGAACAGTGTAATTTTGTTCCACATTTCCTTCTCTTTGTTGTCCTTCCTCCCACTCAATTGCCTCCTACTCTGCTGAGCTGCTCTCTATGGTATCCTAGCCCTTACCCCCCCTTTTCCCTTACTTTACTATAGCTTCCATATATGAAAGAAAACATTAGACATGTGATTTTCTTCAGTCTGGCTTATTTCATGTAGCATGTTGTTCTTCAGTTATATCCATTTACTGACAAATGCCATAATTTTATTCTTCATGGCTGAGTAAAACTCCATTGTGTGTATATATACCTCATTTTCTTTTAACCATTTCATCTACCGAAGAGCACCTGGGCTGATTCCCTATCTTGCCTGTTGTGAATTGTGATGGTATAAACTGATGGCTGTATCACTCTAGTAACCCAGCAATTATTTTAACAAGCCCTCCAGGTGATACTGATGTTTACAATAAAGTTTGGGAGCCGCTAGTATATTGTTCTGGTATAGTAAGTTTTCCCATCACTAGTTTGAATGTAGTTTCACCTAATCAAGTTTGAAAATGTATGACTTGGAAATGAAACACTAAAATAAAGAAAACAACTCTTATGCTTAGATATAAGTGCATTGATGACAAGACCGTGAATTAAGTTATGTAATTATGACTGGTATAGTTCAGTTATTACACATATACTTGATTATTTGTGTGTTTGCAGGATTATTTATTAAACTTTGTATAATCTTAAACTTCTTACAAAACATTTTTATGAGTATGCAATCTTGTAAGGTGAAAATAAAACCTGTTTGCCAGATAGCTGATAAGTGTAGCATTTATACTAGTATTTAGTGAGAGTTAATCTTTCATTCTTAATCATTTTTAATCATGATAGACATACAAGATTATCTTGCAGTGACTGGCACTTATGATTGCATTACTGTTTAGTTCCCCTGGCCAGATATTGAAAAGGTAAGTAAGATGCCATAGACCACCACTGGGGGCATATTTTGAGGGTTTTTTCCATATGGGATGTGCAATTTACAGGTACTTAGTATTATTCCCTGGACAAATAGAACTAACATTCTCAATTTTCTCAGTAATCTTCCCTTAAAGCTGTGATGAGATAAAAGAAAGTAAAAAACATGTTTTAATCAGTACTATAAGTAGACTTGGTTATATAAAAATTATACAAAATGGAATTAAATTATCATGGAAGGAGTTCTAGGGGAAACAATGACTTTTGCTCTTTAATGATAATCTGTGGCCTTTGAACAATAAGCTAGAAGTTTACAATGCTAAAGGATACGTGAGCAGCACTCTTCCTTGCTTCTGCAGCCTGTTCATTTTTTTAAAGTTGGCTATGACACCTGGTGGACACTTTTCCCTTTTTTTTTTTGGTTGTAGATGGACACAATATTTTTATGTAGTGCTGAAGTTTGAACCCAGTGCCTCACATGCACTAGGCAAGTGCTCTGCCACTCAGCTACAACTCCAGCCTCTATTCATTTTTCATGAGGAAAAAAAATGCTATTAAAATTATTTTAAGGGCTGGGGATGTGGCTCAAGCGGTAGTGCGCTCGCCTGGCATGTGTGCGGCCCAGATTTGATCCTCAGCACCACATACAAAGATGTTGTGTCTGCCAAAAACTAAAAAAAAATATTAAAATTCTCTCTCTCTCAAAAAATTATTTAAAATTTTGTTTTTTAGATAGACATAAAGATAGCATTCACTGTGGTCTGTTTATACATGCAGAGTATACTTTTGTTCCACATTTCCTCCTCTTTCTTTCCTTCTCCCTCTCAATCTTCTGTTGACCTCTATATGGTATCCTATTGTTTCTCCTATTGTTTAGTTAAAGAATTTAGGGCTGAGTATGAAATGCCGGATTTGAAGTTTAGTTCTGGGTCTTAAATTTTTTAAACCCTAAAATTTGACTTAAAACATATAGTGAACTCTGGTTAAAAGCACTTTATTGATTACAATATCAATTCACAACACATTATTTCACAAAGCAACTATACAAATAAAGGAATAAATCACTGTAAGAAAGATCAATGAATACTGTTAAATCATGTCACAAGTCCACAGTTGTATGGTTTAAAGCTTTTATAAGAGGCTTTAATCTAGCAAGTTTACCTTTTCCAAAATTAAACATACTACTGACATTCATAGTCAATTGGCCACAAGTGTGTAGATACATCTAGGTGAAGAAAAACATTTTCAAAATTCTTTAACAAATTATTTTAACCAACTTTAAAGACACACTTTGACATAGATGCCTTTGGATAAGAAAATGCAAATGTTCAGATGCTTCTTTGAAAGAAAACAATAGGATAGAGCACCATTGTGTAAAAGACAGAAAGGCTTGAAATATCCTACCAGTATATCACTGAAGTTATGTTAATTAAAAATAAATATGATGTAATATTTTGTTGGGTACATATAATACGAGTTCGAACACATTTTTCTTCCTTAATGCTGCATTATCATACATTTTACAAAATCAGTCATTGTACTTAAGAAAAGTGACTTTTTAAGAAAGTTTTCTCAACATGTAAAACATTTGCTAAAATACAAGGTGGTACCATCAGTCTGATAAAATTTAAAACAATGCTAGCGTAGACATTCTAGAAAATATTTTTAAGGTGTACCTATTTTAACCAATATTTTAAAATATAGTATTGAATTTGAGCCAACACAAGATGAATAACAGAAGAAAAACTAGTAAATCTGAAGTATATTTCATATTCTACTTAATCCAATTTAAGGTACCAGTTTTATTTATGGAACTACATTTTCTCATTAAAAAGACGGTCTCACCTGTGGATGATTTTAAAAATTCTCACGGGAGGTAAGAAACAACTTAAAATTTTACTTCTCACAATGGCAAAAGGGAAATGTGAAGCTGAACATAGTACTTAATTATAAGCCTGACTTAGGTTCTAAAGATTCTAGAAAGAACATTCATTGCTAAAATGACAAGGAACCCATTTAGGGAACTGTTTAATCAGTTTTTCCAAGTTAAACTCATCAACAATAAGTAACACTTATTGCATTATAATTTAAAATTGAGACATTCACATCAATGCCTAAATTTCCCTGAACATTTTCGATTTTAAAACAATGTCTTGGACCAGCAGGATTGGAGCTCAGTTATATAGCAATGGCACAGCATTTTTAAGTTTTTTTTTTTTTTTTTTTTGAGTTCTGTATGGACAGAATGCCTTTATGTGGTGCTAAAGATCGAACCTGGTGCACCTCATATGCTAGGCAAGCATTCTGCCACTGATACAGCCCCAACCTGGCAAAGCATTTTTTTTTTCTTTTTAACCAACAATCTGTCACCTGGAGAAAAGAACGTTTAATAGGTTAAAATCCAACATTTCAGAAACATTTACATTTATTATCTCAGGGAAAATAGCTTATACTACCATGCAATATTAATCAGCTCAGCTAAGTCTAAATTGAGAACTGCTTACTAGGTTCTCTAGCTACCGAAATACTAAGCCCATACCTCTGCCTCTATGAATTTAGAATTCAATGTGGTGTATCACAACTTAAATTTTGAGCTAGGGAGGACCTTCAATATTTGGTCAAATAGTATATCTGGCTAAAAATGAATCCTGTCCAAAGTGAAGGAAATATCCTTGCTGATGACAGGAACTGCTTTCTTGAGCAAGGATTTGGGATGATTTGCCTGGTGATTATGGAGCTTTAGAAAAGAACATGTTCCTTTAAAATATTCTTGCCAGAGGGATATTGTGCATGTGTGTAGTTCCTACTACTTAGGAAGCTGAGGAGGATCCCTTGAAGCCCAGGAGTTTGAGGCAACATAGTGAAACCCTACTCTATCTTGTAAAAACAAACAGACCATTCCCCCAAGATCTCAAAAAGCAACTCTGTGATATAAAGAGTCTACATGTAACCTGCTGCTGAGGCACATTATGTTTACATGTTGCTTAAAAAGGTAAAGAAGAAAAACTAATAGGTACCAGATAACTGCAATTTTTTTTTTTTTGAGAGGGGGGCCAGGAATTGAACCTAGGAACCCTTAACCACTGAACTATGTCTACAGCCTTTTTTTTTTTTTTTTAATTTGAGAAAGAGTATCACTAAGTTGTTGAGGCTGACTTTGAACTTGGGATCATCCTGCCTCAGCCTCCTGAGTCACTGGGTTTCAGGTGTGTGCCACCACACCTGGCTGCAATATTCCTGATGATGCAAATTCTTTAAAATTGAACTGGCCATATTTTTAAACCTTGAAAAACTTAAGATCCAAACTGCAATTATATACTCTGATTTTAGGAAGTCTTATGCACAAAAACAGAATTAGAAATTCAGCTGAACTCAAACTGCAAATAAACAGATCTAGCAACTGGAACCCCTAGCACTAGAAAGCTAAAGGTTTCATAAGGTAGTTACTGTTGTAATTACACTACTTTTTCACCAACTGGTCCTATGTACAAGTGTTCAGTTGTGGTCAGTTTTCAGTTGTCTAATACGAGAATTGCTTTAAATTCTCTACACAAACAGTAACATTAAAATAAATGTCATTTAAAAATGTTAAGACCATAGGGTTCTAGCATGTATTATGTTTTTCTGACTAAAGTCTCTTGTTACAATAACTTTTAGCAGAAGATAACATACATACATATGTACATATATATCTATATACACACATATCTATATAAGTTTGTGTGTATATATACATGGTTATAACAGAAGTGCTTCCTTGAATGGGATTTTGGAATGAACTACCTTTTTTGGAAATGGATATGTTCCTTTAAAATGTGGCTTATCTCAAAGAGCTACTCTTTATGAAGTGATATAAATAGTTCACAAATAATAGCAAAAAGTTGACAGTAATACTAATTAAAATACAAATATACACTCACACCTGCCATCTATAATATTGTTTTGGTCCTTTATCTTAATTTGCCTTTATCCTTTTATTCTCTTTCTATTATCAACTGGCCTTAATAAACAAAACTGACACTGATTTCATTGCGGTTAATGCACATTTTAGCACATTCATAATATAAAAATGAAAATTTATAGGTACAATTTGGGTGTACTTAGATTAGGGTTATAGGTTATCAAAAGTTAACACACAACTATCTGAAAACACAAATATCTGAACAATAACTTAACAGTTTACCAAGTTACAAAACAACAGTGCACTGCTATATATCAGAATAACCCATGACTTAAGCATCAAGCAAGACTAACAATCTTCTATTGTCAATCATTTAGATCTACTTGTAGGAGAAAAATCAAAGAAGTGAAGTATTATTGTTTAGATTGGTGGAAGGGACATTGTAGTAACTGACCTATTATACTTTTGACAAGTAGAAGAATTGTGTGGTATATTTTTCTGACTTTCAGGCAAAAGCTGCTTTGAATTTTTTTTTAAATTTTGCTTTCAAGTAGAATCACTTAGACATAGATAGTCTTTGAAGCAAAACCACTTAGAAACCAGTATTTTGTGGGATTGAGAGAATATTACTATAGGAGAGCAAAAAGCTTAAATGTTTCATTTTAAGAATTTGAGAGAATAGGTAGTTTATATCAAATAAGATTTTATATTACATAAAAAAATTCATAAAGCCACCTTATTACATAACAAATCAGTGCTAGCAAATAGTTGAAGTTTATACTTCTCTGAAAAATGTTAATGTTGTCACACTAAATTTTTCATCTAGATGTATATTAGTAAAGAATACTAGGACAGAGTCTTCAGATGCAGGGACAATCCAAATGTTTATCAAACTTCTGAAATATAAGTAAACCCTACAACTTAGATCCAGAATATGAAATCAAGAGGAAGGTGCAACTCAAGAGGAAGGGCTACTCAAAAGTGGCAATTGATCATGATCAGTCTTTTAAAATGCCAAGAATTATTTATATGCTAGTATACTTTTTACTAATATAATAAATTCTAATGAAGTTTCTTAGAGATGTCCAAAATGTCAGAGTGAAATCTCTATCTCTGGCCATTATAAAGTGAGCACTTATTTAGACTGACATCATGGCAAAGAATGCACTAATGATTCCCCTTATCTACCCATGCTCTTAGTAAGCAATCAGTATCCCTTTCAGATTAAAAAGCAATTCAGGATTCAAGGGGACTTCCCTCAAACAGCACACACGTACAGTATCACTTCCATCTATTATTGTGCCTTCCATTACAAAACTCAAAAACGTGACATTTCTTATGTATAAAAAGTTTAAAATGTAGTTCTTAACAAAATGCAAACACAATGACCAGCTGCTATAAAGTGTACATTCTATTCTACATAAAGAAATAATTAAACTCAGTACGAGCAAAAATTCCTCAATGTTAAATTCACCCAACTCTCAAATTAATACACTTGGTCCTTCTGATTTTCACAGGTACCTTGCCTTGTTTGTTTCCCCCATTTTTTTTTGTAATTTCCCAAAAGCTGCTTTTGTATATAATAACTGAATAGAAAAATCTTCACCTGCAAATAAAAGGTAGATTTTTTTCACAGCTATAGGCTGTAGTATTGATTTCTCCAGATTATTAATGGAGAACAGAAAATATGTATGACACTGTTAATTCCAGATTCTAAGAAAACTGTCCCAAGATCCTGTTGCCACAGCCATGCCATCATCTGTCACACCTAAACAGCTGACACGGTTGTCATGACCAGCGAGGACACCTAAAAAAAATAGTTCAATACAAAGTTAGCAACCATCGTTTTAGTATTTAAAAAGTATGTACACAAACATTTTAAAGGTATGTACCCTGCTATGTACTCTAGCAGGGTAACCAGGTTCCTTTGAGTGGGCAGACCGCAATAAGTTAAGACGTACGTAAAACACACCTTTTTGTATTATTTGAATTGTTGATATATACATCAATTTGTTTTTAGTTTTTAAAAAAACATTCTGTAATTAAGCTATTTTATATCTAGAAAAACCACAGTTTACATCACTGATATGTTCATGATATTTCAATTTTGCTACTGAGCTGTGCTTTCAACAAAAATAAAATTTTAAGTGAAGTTCAATGAAGTAGACTTTTTTTTACAAGAACAAAAACATGAAAGTTGCCTTATATCTCTATTTCCAATACCAACTATATATATTTCTAGAAAAACTGAAGTTTCCATCACTAATATGTTCATGATATTTCAATTTTGCTCTCTCCATATATAGAGTTTATTCTGTTATCCACCAAACATAACTGTGGTTATAATGTTGGTTATAACTCTAAACCATCCAACTCAATGAATTTTTATTTCCTTTCATCTTAAACTCACTTGATATCCTGATCCCTACACAGGATAAAATTAAGTATCCATTTTGGAGAGGGTTTGGGAATGAGAAATGTAAAAAAAAATAGTTTTTTTTTTTTTTCAGTACTGGGGATGAAACCCAAGGACGCTCTACTACCAAGCTACCTTTCCAGCCCTTATTTTGAGACAGGGTCTCACTAAATTATCAGACTGACCTTTAACTTGCAATCCTCCTGCCTCAGCTTCCCAAGTTGCTGGGATTACAAGTGTGTACCACCATGCCTAGCTATAAAGTTTACTTTCTAATTATGGCTCCTAGTTTTTTTTTCTGGAAATCAGCCCTCAAACCAGCAGCTAGATTATGCATTCCAGGTAGAAAAGTAAAAGATGCATCTGGGGTGGAACATGGCTAGTCCAAAGAGGGGGAGAGGCTGTAAGTTATACCACAGGTTCCCCAGTGAAAGCCTGGCTAGATGAGCCCTACTGTCATCACACCCAACCATAGCTGGATATATGGAGTTTCAAATAGTTTTGGTGCCTCATAAGAATGAACAAGAAGCCAAGAATCACTAGTCTTTTAAGGAAATAATCCAAAAATAAGGACAGGAGAGAACAAAAAATAGGAACATAAAAAAAAAACTGGAAAAACAAAAGACTATGCTTGAAGAAGAAAACTTAAAAAATAATTCACTAGTAATGTCAAAGAAGCAGAAGACATCAATCATGAGAAAAATAATAGATGCCATAAAAATGAGAGACAAAAACAGCTCTTAAAAAGATGGCAGCAAAAATGGAAACCAACACTTAAGGGTTGAAAGAAAAGATGAAGATTCCAGCACCTCAGGAGGCTGAGTTATGAAGATCACAAGTTCAAGACCAAGCCCAGCAACTTAGAACAACATCATATATATAGTTTATCCTTCAGCAACATAGAAGACCATTAACTCAAAAGAAATCAGAAGGACTGGGGGATATAGCTCTGTAGTACTGCTCAAGGCCCTGGATTCAATCTCCAGAACCACAAAAACAAACTCAAAAAAGTTCACCAAGTACCCAGTGCAATGAATGAAAATGGATCTACTCAAAGACAAAAGAAAGTCTGAGGATTCATTAGTGACCAGCCCATCAGAACCAAAAAGATAATCTAAAAAAATCAACTGAACTCCAGAGAATACAAAAATACTGTATAGCAAAGGATGTCAAAGTATACAGTAATAAACACTTCTTAAAAAGTCATATATCACACAATGTTGTTTATGAATGTAAACAAAACAAGCTGTATGGGAAAACTGGAAGATGGGAAGCCTGTGGCTATTGAGGGAGCAGGGATGCTAAGCCATACCCTTGCCATCCATGACAGTAGTTCAACAGAGAATGCCTCAAAGTTTCTTAAAAAGAAAAAAAAAATCGAGTACCATCAATATAGTCCTATTTTAAAGATATGGAAATAAATAAAAGTCTAAAGTAACTACTTTGGAAAGTGGAATATATGGGTTAAAGTCAAAGGTAGCAAGTCACACAGAAATATTCAATTGCTTAAATATAATTTAAAGTAAAATTTTGATTTTTTAAAAATTAAAATTGCTTTAATTTGTTATTAACCACAGTCCCCAATGTGGCTTGATTGTGTATTCTAATATTTGGAAACCTGCAAAGGAGAAATCCAAGAATGAGACTAAAGGAAGATAATAGGTCTATATCCTACCCCCCGACAAGATCTGTCCCAGAAGGAAGACAACCCACAGTAGTTAAACTACTTCCTGTCAGGTTTTAAGAAAACTGAGATTTATTATAAAAGTCATATTCATTATTCATCTTATACTGAAATTTAGCAAACAAGAAAATATTATGGAACTTAATGTTACTCTTCAGAAACCTTAATAAAAATACAGACGATAGTTTGTAGGTCCACTCCAAGGGTAATGACAATGAACACAAAGGCTCTGAAGCTCCTGGGGACTTATTTACCAACCTGCACGATCTCCTTTCAGCGTGTCCCATACATTACAATTAAAGTCATCATAACCAGCCAGCAGGAGGCGCCCACTTTTTGAGAAAGCCACAGAAGTGATTCCACAGATTATATTGTCATGAGAATACAACAACAACTCTTGGTCTGCTCGGAGGTCAAAGAGCCGGCAAGTAGCATCATCAGAGCCAGTGGCAAAGGCATATCCGTTTGGAAAAAACTAGAAAGAAAAGCAACACACATTTATTCCACATGTGTACATAAAAATCATGGGAGGCAGTATAATAACAGACTGGATCAAGGCAGATCTAGATTAGAATTCCATTACTTACCCTGTAAGTGACTGCTAGACACTAAAGATTTTTAAATATTCTGAGCCTTAGTTTCAGAGTTAGGATTGAATAAAATGACATATGCAAAGCACCTAGTCCACTGTTCAGCACATAGCAAATGTTAATAAATACTGGCTCTGCTCCTCTGGTATGTTTATTAAAACACTGAAATCAACAGGGGATAGAGCGGGGAAGTGCTAGGGAGTGATATTGGTCAAATTATATTGTTACATTGTGTAAAAAACCATTTAAGTCATGTATTATTATTTATAGAATAATGTGGCATGTGTATTTAAGTATATGTGCATATACGTATATATATATATACACATATATATGAAGATTTTTGAATATTTGGATATTTTGAATATATATATATATATATATATATATATATATATATATATATGAAGAAATATTCCAAAATCATGATATAGAAAAAATTTTATAAAAGAAAACATAAAACATTACAATGATACTAGGTAATAAATGAGTAATAAAGAAAATTATGTAGGATTACTCTGTGAATAATATTTATCAGATATTGGGACTACATAACAATGAATTTTTTTTTTTTTCAGAGTAGAAATTAGAAGTTTATTAAAGGACAGCAGAAAAGACTTCTCCCGGAGGAAGAAGGGGACCCAAGAGGTGGAATCCCAACAATGAATTTTTTACAAAGGGAAAATCACATTCTTTCATATGTTTATCAGCCATCTATATTATTTTTGTGGGCTGATTTATTCATGATCTTTGTGTATTTTCTTCCTTTGGGTTGTTGATTTTTTAATTTATGGGAATAAATAAATTCATCTGTTGTTGCAAATATTACTTTACAGTCTTATTGTTTGTCTTTTAATATTGTTTACTTTAAAAATATGCAGCACAGGAGGCTGAGGCAGGAGAATCACAAGTTTGAGGCCAGCCTCAGCAACTTAGTGAGGCCCTAAGCAACTTAGTGAGACCCTATCTCAAAGTAAAAAATAAAAAGGGTTGTGATATGGCTCAGTGGTTAAGCACCCTTGAATTCAAGCCCCAGTACAGAAAAAGAAAAAAAAAAAATTCTCTCTCTCTCTCTCTCTCTCTCTCTCAGTAGTTTTACATTTTTGTGCAATCAACTTTATCTATCCCTTTGAGATTTCTTTCATTGCTTTTATGAAACTTCTCCAGGTTGATAGCTGATAAATGTTGTATGTTCATTTTAATTTCATTTTCACATCTTAATTTTTATTCATCTGGAGCTTATTCGATAAACAGCATTCAGTGTAAGAATGTAATGCAATTTTCTTAATAGTTCAGCAATTGTTCCCTCTGTTAACTGATTTTTCTATTGATTTGCTAAGTCATTCACTACATTCTGGGCAACTTTTTTTTTTTTCTTAGTTCTGGGGATCAAACTGGGCCTCATGTATTCTAGGCAAGTGCCCTACCACCAAGCTACATCTCAGCACTCACTAAATTCTTATATACAGTAATTTTTTAGAGTTTTCTGCCTACCCTTGGTCACACCTGTGTCACACTTTTTTTGTATCACCTTTTTAAAAAATAAGTATAAAATAGTAAATTTTTATAATCTGGCTTGGCAAAACACTTTTGTTACTCTTCTGCTTCAAATCAGTCCATTTCCCTTTTTCCCTGCTTGAATTTCACAGATTTTGGTCATGTGTCTTTTCTCTACATACCTCAGATTCTCCTCAGCAAAACAAAACACCACTTGGATTATTGTTTTTCTTCTTTGTGTGTGTGTGCTGGGGATTAAGCCCAGGGCCTCACAATTGCTAGGCAAGTACTCTACCACTGAGCCATTCGACCATCTCTAGAGTTTTAAAATAAGATTGAGGGATGCTTAGTTTGATCCAATGGAAGGTATTTTCAGTTATTAAATATAAATATTTAGTATTACAGTTTTGTTTTCTTCATAAAGATCTGCATGATTTTTGGTACACTTACTTATAATTATTGTTGTTCTCAATTGGATTTCCTTCCTTTATATTTTCTCACAAGTAATTATTGGTATAGATAGCCGCTGATTTTTTAAACATATTTTTATTAGTGCATTATAGTTACACATAATAGTGGGGTCCATTTTGTCATAATCATTCATATATATGTTATAATTTGCTCCATTTAAGTCCCCAATGCTGCTGCTGCTTTCCCTCTTCCCCACCCCTCTTCCCCTTCCTCTTCCTCTACTCTACTGGTTTGCCATCTATTTATGTATTGTTTTCCTTCGTCGGTGCTTTAATTGGTACGTATGAACCAGCTCAGGTGTCCTTCAACAGATGAACAAGTAAAGAAAGTGTGAATATATACATAACAGAGTTTTACTCAGTCATAAAGAAGGATCAAATTACAGTATTTGTTGGTAAATGGATACAATTGGAGAGCACCATGCTAAGTGAAATTAGCCAGACTCAGAAGAGTCAAGAGGTGAATATTTTTTCTCATATGCAGAAGCTAGAGCAAAGTAAGGGATAAGAGGGGATCCCATTAAAATAGAAGGGGATCAATGGAGTAAAAGAAGGGGATTGAGGGGAAGGAAGGAAGGGAAAAGAAGGAATTATGGAATGAAATTGACAAAATTATGCTAGGTACATATTTGATTTTTAAAATAGTTTTTGTAATCCAGAATATACAGTGAACTTTTTTCTTTGGGTTTCTAGATAGCTAAACATACCTCCTTCAAATAATATTTTTTCCTACTTTCTAATGCAGCTCTTATTTTCATTGTAATCTAACTATACTGGCTGGAAGTTTCAGAATGATTTAAATAACGGTGATAGTGTTACTACTGTCCTCTTGCTACCAGGTGAATGCCTTTGTTGTGTTTCACAATCCAGGTGTTGGTGGGGTAGGCAGTGTTCACAGGTTAATCAGTTTCTGGAAATGCAAACACTTGTAATGCTTTTTAGGATGGTGAAAGCTTGGTGCTGGTGGAGGTGGTGTCTCCACACTAATTGGCAAATTCTTTTCCTTTTCAAACTCCTTGAGGGCTTGATAAGCCTCTCACAATTTCTTCCTTCCATCTTCTAAGCATCTCTTCATCAGTCATCCCTGACTACAGTGCCGTTCAGAAGGTCCTCTGAAAAGCAAGACTTTACCAAATCCTTACAGCCCACTCACGCTCTAGTATTTCTGATCATTTGCTTTCATTTGAATAACAGCAAAACACTCCGTCATTCCTTTGGAGAAAGTCCAACGCTAACTTACATGTCCAAATATGTCAAAGAAGAAATTAAAGAAAATCAGAATTCTGAACTGAATGAAAATGAAAACACAAAGCATCAAAATTTGAAGGACATAGTTTCAAGCAATACTGAGAAAGAAATTTATAGGTGTAAGCTCCAGTATTAGAAAATAGTTTCAAATCAATATCGGTTTCTGCCTTGAGAAAATAGAGAAAGAAAGCAAATAAAATCCAAGTTTCATTCAATTGAAAAATAATAAAGATCTGAGTGAAAAATCCATAAAATAGAAAACAAACAAACAAAAAAATAGGGAACATCATTGGAAACAAAAGCTCAGGGATAGGGATGTGGCTCAGTGGCAGAGCACTTGCCTAGCATGCGAAAGGCCCAGGGATCCTCAATAACAAACAAAAAACAAACAACAACAACAACCAAAAAAAAAAAAAAAAAAAAAAAAAAAACCTCCAAAAAACAAAAGCTGGTTCTTTGAGAAGATAAGTAAAACTGCTAAGATCCCAGCTAGAATTGTTCATTTTGCTAAGGTTGCCATAACAAGGCATCACAAACTGGTGGTTTAAACAACAAAATGTGTGGTCTCACAGTTCTGGGAGCTAGATGTTCAATATCAAGAGGTCTGAGGGCTGTGAGGGAAGAGCCTGTTAGGCCTTTCTCCTCCGCTTGTGGATGGTCATCTTCTCCCTGCTCTCTTCATATCTGTCTTTTCGTTATGCTCAGCTGTCTTCAAACCTCCCTCATTCATAACGACACCAGTCACTTTGGAGAGTGGCCCACCCAAACCAGGAGGACCTCATTTAGGTAATTACATCTGTAATAAACCTGTTTTAACAAGGTCACATTCTAAGTTACTGGGGCTTAGGGCTTCAACATACAAATTTTGGATGGACACATCAGCCCACAGTACCAGACTATTCAGGAAAAAGTACAAATTACCAACACCATGAATGAGAAGGAAAAATCCTACATATTCTACAAATATTAAAAGAATAGTAAGGAAAGAGTATAAAAAATTTAAAACCAATAAATTTGACAGTGTAGATGATATGAATCCCTTAAAAGATACAGACTACCAAAACTCACTCAAAAAAAAAAAAAATAGGCCAGGTACAGTGGTGCATACCTATAATCCTGGCAACTCAGGAGGCTGAGGCAGGAGGATTGTAAATTCAAGGCCAGTCTCAGCAAATTAGCAAGATCCTATCTCAAAATAAAATTTAGAAAAGACTGGGGTGTGTCTCAGTGGTAAAGCTCCCCTAGGTTCAATCCCCAGTACAAAAAAGAAAAGAGCCTACACCTAATATGACTTAAGATCTATAGTTTAAAATCTTTTTGAGGAAAACTTCCTGGCGAGACAGCTTCACAGATAAATTCAGCCAAGTATTTATGAAGCAATAACAATTCTATACAAACTTCCAGAAAGCTGAATAGGAATTGGAGGGAAGGCTTCCCAACTCCTCCCCTGAGGCCAGCATTATTTGATACAAAAGCCAGACAAAACATTTCCAGAAATGAAAAATAGAGCAATGACTTTATGAACAGGAATGCAAAACTTCACAACAAAAATTTCAGCAATCAAATCCACTAATATATAAAAAGAATAATGCATTATAACCAATTGTGGTTCGTCCCGGAAATGCAGGGGTGCATTAATATTTAAAAATCAGTGATAAATGTCAGTTAGCTTCATTTAATGCATTCCACGGTGTGTGTATATATGTATGAACATAACTATGCATTATAAATATGTAAAGATTTTATTTGTCACTTATACCCTTTTAAAGCTGGGGTTGGGGAGAGCCTTGATAGGAACAGCTGCATTTGGTCCTGGGAATGAAATTAATAATTCCAATTTATAATTATTAACAATACCTTTACTGCCAAGAAACACATGGAGGTCCCACAAACATAAACTCAAGTATAAAATTTCAGAAACTCAGTGAACTATTCAGTGAGGTTTAAATGGGTCTTGCCTACAAATCAGATATTATGGCTTGAGTTCCTAGCACACGATAAACAGTATGAGAAAATTTTTGGTAAATTAAAAGTCACCACTGAATATAACTAGAAAGTGAAAATACAATAAAGTTGGTCATAATTCCATCTGAGACAAAAAAAGGAATCATATCTTCTTTTGAACCATTTGACAGTGTGGATGATTCCAAAAGAAAATCTCAATATTTATTTTAGAAAAGATAGTGATAACATCCAGCCCACATCCCCGCAAAAAGCAGAAGACAAATCAATCAATGTAAATTCACCATTTTAACAGACTGAAAAGGGGAAGCTACACACGACCGTCTCAACGGATGGAGAAAAGGTACCTGATAAAATTCAATGCCCTTTCCTGAATTCAGAACTTAGTGAATTAGGAATACAAGAGGACATCCTAGCCTGAGAGACATGCTGGGGTGAGTCGGGAGGGCTGGGCTTGCCAGCTCTAAGACTCTCAAAACAGGCTGACCTCGGGGTGGGGGTAGCAAAATATTTACTTTCTCTGATGTTCTCCTTAAAATCATGTAAAAATGACTTTCAATATGTAAATGATAAAAACTTAACCATTTTTTAAATCTGAAAATATCTTCTTATAAAACTAGAATGTGTTATACATCTGTCTTTGGTGACAGTGGTACTTTTGGAAATCCCAGGCACATCTATACACTTTGGCATCTGACGTACATAGGGACATTTGCCTGTGGCAGAGTCCCACATCTCCTAACACCTTCCCCTGGATCCTCACCACTGATAATCATTTTGAAGGCTATTCAGAATGCCACTTTTGCTGTATTCTATTTATAAACACATATGACTAGTTCATTCTCACATATACTGAGTACTTTTTGTCTGGCTTAATCAACTTACAGTTCTCTGGTTTTTTCTTTCTTTCTTTTTTTTTTTTTTTTAAATGAGAGCTCATGCAGACAGTAAGTGGCAGAACTAATATTTAAAAATCCCAAGTACAGCTCACCTCAGAAGCTACACTCTTTACACTAAACAACTGCCTTTTCATTTGTTATTGGTCTCTCTCCAGGTTTTTCCCTTTGGCCCAAGAGAGATGTTTTTCTCATCTGAACACACTGCTGTGGACATCCTGCTTCTTCAAGGTGAGCTATCCCTCTAATTCGAAAGGAAACCTGTATTTTGGGCTGGGAGTGTAACTCAATGGTAGACTCCTCACCTATCATGCTCAAGGCCTTGGGTTCAATCCCCAGCACCACATAAATAACAACAAAAATAATTCTTATGTTTCATCTCTGGATTAAACTTTTTCTCACATAAAACACTATTATTTGGGAATTTGATGTAAAAGAGCACATTATTTATAAGAATCCTTGAGAGCAATTTTGTTATTAAAATCTTGCCACAGAGTTCAAGACTTTAAATGCATAATAAATTTTTTTAAAAAATACAATTTCAAAACAAACAAAAACAAAAATGTGATGCACTTACACTGACAGCATTAATATCTGAGACGTGTCCTGTGAAAGACTGTCTACACATTCCATCTCGAATATCCCATAATTTGGAAGAGGCATCACAAGCACCAGAAACAAAAGTACGCATGTCAGGACTCAGAGAAAGACTCATGACATCTCCAGAGTGCCCAGTGAATGTGGTGGTCTGCTGGGCAGTTTCTATGTCCCATAAAGCACTGTAATTAAAAAAAAAACAACCTCAATGACCAGTATTGTGTCTGCTGTTAGCTCCTACAAACTACCCTCAACCTCCAATCAGTGTACTTCTGGGATAAACTTACCAAGTTGTATCTCCTGAACTTGTAACAATCTGGCTGTCATCTAAAAATCGACAGCAGGACAAGTAGCCTGCAGCACAGAAAGTGGAAAATTTTAGGTTATATCACTGATCAAATAAGCCAAGTATCACATGGAATAGTATTATTCTTTCAAAAATATAACACCCGGGTGGCGAGTGTGTCTGTATGATCTATAGTTCTGCTTTTCATTACTTCAACTCCACACTGTCTGCAACTAACTTGTATCAACAAATTCTACTGAGGCACTCAGTACCTCAATGACATTGGGCACTCTGAAGGTTACAAAGCTGACGACAACATCTAAGACAGTTACCCAGGAAAGAAGATGCTCCCTTACACACCTAATTACAATCTAAGCTGTTAAGAACCTGGAAGGAAACCTTAAAAATGCAGAGAGAAATGAGAACATCCATGAAGGTTTTATGAAAGATGTAGCATATGAATGCCCAGAGTCTCTCAGTACTTCATAGTATGGAAATGGCAGGGAAATACTGTGCTAGAGACTTTTGTAAAAACACAATAAATAGTAATGACAAAAATTCAGATATGTAGAAATCAAAGGAGTGGCAATAAATTCCTATTAACGCCACTAACCAAGTACTACACTACAGAACTGTGGGGGTGCACACTGGCAAATAAGGCAAGCCAATATCACACAGTGCAAAATGCTCCTTTCATGTATTATCATTCATACTTTTGATTATATAACTGAGTACAGATGCCACGAATCCCATACTTGTTACATGGTAGCAGAAAAGATAAATAATTGCATTGTCTTTTTATTTTATATTTTTCATGATTGTTTAAATTTTTATAGTAAATTTATCATTTCTTACAGGAACAACTGCTATTTTCAAAAGAAAAAAATAAAATTGTAGGGAGCTGAAAGTAGTACAGTTCCTTGGAAAAGCATGTGGTTAGCACGCATGAGGTCCTGGGTTCAATCTCTAGTACCCAAATAATATTAAAATAAAATTAAGGTCATTGCATGCATGATTTTTAAAAGTTATCATTTCCCTATTTCAGATTAATTTCTATTCTTTCCCCATTAACACTCATCCTTTAGTCAGTTAAGCCCAATTTGTCATGTATCCTGGGTCAGTGAAGTCTAGGGAAGAAGCAAGGTGGGACAGGAGAGAAGAGTGTTTAGTGATGCTCACCTGTGTGACCTGGCAACTCTCGGCTCACTCTCACATTTCCCTCTCTGGTTTTTAAGTTATATATAGAGCAGATGTTGTCCAGACCTCCACAAGCAACATAATTACCAGACGGGGCATAAGCACAGGTCATCACCCAAGAGGATCTCAAAGGAATAGCGTGCATCTATGAAACAAATACAACCCACAAACTATCACTAAGGAAAGATTAAAAAGAGTCATTTATTTTTAAAATCTACTTACAATGAAGTAAATATCATTAAAATTAAATACATATAAGAAAAATAAGCCAAATAAAAATATAACGACTTGAAAAAGTATTTATCTTTCAAAATTATCAAATTTTAAATACCAATCCACATACAAATGCCTTTTACTATTATTTCTGCATTATTAAATCATTTGGAGTTAAGAAGTATTATTTTTAGAAATTTCTTTTAGTACAAGCACGGACATAAGGGTGTCCCAATGCTAAAATACCCATCTGAAACATTGAGTGGCACGCAAAAGAAGAATCTCCTCCATAACACCGAACAATAAAAAGGAAGGTAATTAACAAGTATCAGTTCGTTAAAGAGATTCTTTCACAAAGAGATGACACTAGCATCCCTACATTAATAGGCACAGATTCTGAGTTCTCACTCAAACAATGGTAATAGTTGTGAGTAGATCTAGTCACACCTGTCTGGTGACTTGACTCCAAACTTCTGCAGGTCACATGGAAAAACTGAAGGTGTCTGGAAAAACAAAGCTAAATGCTCTGTATGGGGAATGAACACATCCCATGCCTACTACTATGCCCTTCCTTAACCTAAAATAATGTTTTTGAAGTGCAATTTAAAAAAAAAAAATGGAGTTGAAAGAGACATGCTTAATGCCCATTAATACAGAAAAACTGTTATATAGTAATCTTAGCTAGCTTTAAAATCTCAAGCAGCTTGGGGTATAGCTCTGATAGAGTACTTGCCCAACATGTGTAAGACCCTGGGATTGATCAACAGCACCAAAAAAAAAAAAAAAAAAAAAGAAGTTATTATCTCACTAAATAATTACTGGGATTATTATAAATATAATGGGATTCCTTCCTTCCAGTGGATATATTAAGAGAATCCTGTATTTGGCCACCAAGAGACCTAAACAAGTAGTAATTTGCCTCTAATCTACTATATCTTCCAATTAGTCCAGAACCAGAAATCAATGCCTAGAGTGGGCCAAGGAAAAGCTTTATACTAGCCATCTAGCTTACCCATACTAGAAATAAAAATCTCTGGGTCTTTCACATTAGAAAATGTGATTTAAAAAAAATAATTTATGCAAAAAAATTTCTAAAATTTCAATATAAATAAGGAAATTCAAGCCAAACACTCTGAACAATATTCCTGTAGTTTTTCCTTGGAAATAAAAAAAGGATTAAACATTAAAAGCAAACACTAAGCCTAAAGAGAGGATCTAGATTAAAATAAATAAAATGTTGATCTCAGAAGGCAAATAAAGTTTGAAGAAAGAATAAAAGAAAGAATTGGTGGACAGCAAAACAAACACAAGATTACTTAGAAGAAGGATTAAGAAATTCTACCTTATTTGTTGTATAGCTATCCCAAATAATTAATTTTCCATCTTGGGAAGCACTTACTAGTAGCCTAGAGGAACAAACACAAAAATAATTTGATACTTAGAGGAAAAAAGAGTTTAAATTAGTTATGCATTGCATTAATGTAGGACAGTTCAGAAAAGAAAGTAACAAATTTTTCCAATAAAAACCTGATACCAAGAAATGTTCTTCCAACTTTTAAAAAATTTATGCTACATGCAAGAATTCTGAACATACATCACAAAATTTAGCAATTTGACTGAGAATGTCTGTGACTATGATTCAACATCATTATTCAAGGTTTTGGTAGACATTAGCTGACTGGCTGGCTCGTTTAGTATTACTAATTAAATTGAATGGCAGTAGACTACATATAGACTTAAAGGCACACTTCATTCAATCTAAACACACCAACGGGGATCTGTGAGTGCACTGCAGCGTCACAGGTACAATGTGGCCCTATCTCCATCCTTGAGTTCTCTACCATCTGGAGGAGAAAAGACGTTTGTGTACATTTATAATAAGTCAAGGGAGTGAAAACTGTCACAAGAGTGGTATAAAGTACATCCCACAGGAAAGTAAAAGAGGAATGAATAACTGCTAGTTGAATTAATTAAAATTCAGTTGGTAGAGTGCTTGCCTCACATGCACAAGGCCCTGGGTTCAATCCCCAGCACCACCACCAAAAAAAAAAAAAAAGAGAGAGAGAGAGATAATGCATATTTAAAAATGGAATTAACAGCTAAAGATAGAGAAAACTGTGTATTCTAAGGGTAGGGCTGAAGTACGATCAATGAAAACAGGTGGAAAAATACAGTGAATGTTTCAGGACGGGGTCTTCCAATTTTGTAGAGTTTGTGAAAAATAGGAAACATAAGCTAAGAAAAATAGACCAGGCTTAACTACAGAAAACATTATTTGCTAGACTATGGGGTATAAACTCTTGACTAAGTACTTATTAGTCATTGAATTTTTAATTTTATTCTGGAATTATATTTTTCACCATGATATAAAATTTAGAAGATTAAAAAAAATTACCTTGCTAAGTCTAATCCCCAGCAGCTCATCTGAGTTCCCTTCTCTTTAGGAAAATAACATCATGAGTTCTCTTTTTTCTAGGGGCTGGGTGGGGGGGGCGAGTGGTGGTTACCAGGGATTGAACTCAACCACTGGGCCACATCTCCAGCCCTATTTTGTGTTTTATTTAGAGACAGGGTCTCCCTGAGTTGCTTTGTGCCTTGCTTTTGCTGAGGCTGGCTTTGAACTCAAAATCCTCCTGCCTCAGCCTCCTGAGCCGCTGTGATTACAGGCATGTGCCATTGTGCCTGGCTATCATCTGGTTCTTAATGTTGTAAATATTAATTTTGTTGTTACAAAAAGGAAGATCTGATAGTGGAGAATAGGAACCCATGGAAAATTCTTCAAAAATCAACTGGCATCATCAGTTTCAGAATGGGTAGGAAGACAATGTGAGGCAGGTTCCTGGGGGACTTGTTTGCTTTTGAGAATATTTTTAAGGAAAGAAAGGATGACTAGTGTTTTTTCAAATAACAGGATTTCAGGTTAAAAGTTTGCCCTGTCAACAAGGCAAATTATTTTTACCCTAATTTTTTTTTTTAAGAAAAAGAATACAGTATTTGCCTTAGCTCTATGTCAATTGTATAATCTTATCTATCCCCTCCTAAGAGGCACACAGGGTATATTACTACTCTGTATCCCATTTATATCCAAGAGAAACAAGTGAGGGAGGCTTTCTCTACTTACAATTTTAGTGTGTCTCTTGGAAGCAGAGAACACATGTGCAACCTTTATTAAACAATATTTTCTTACATTACACAGTAAGATGAACTAAATCAAAGAAACAAGGTGATCTCTGAGGCAGCAGGCAGATTTACTACTGCCAGATGTGCTGGATAAAGTGGAGCCTGAACTGAAACCCTAGGAACACAGTGAACGGTTGTAACCAACCATATATCCTGTAAGCCACAGGTGTGCCCAGATGTATGTGTGTGCACCTGCTGATGCTCAGATTTAATTTGATCATATGCACTTATATGTTGAGTTGGGGGAGTAAAAAAAGATGTAGTGAATAAAAATATCCTTGTTTCATGTAATTAGATCCTCTGTGAACTGAGGTAGTAAGAAATTGTAGCAATATCTACTAATTTGCACACAGTGTTCAATATATATTTGCTTATTAACTGACAAGGTTAATATATAATAAAACTGCTTTGGACATATTAAAAAAAAGTATAATACCCTACTGCAAAAAAAAAGAAACCCTCTTTGAAATAGTTTTCCCAGCTCATATGATAAAGGTCTTTTTGAGAAGTAAACTGGCTTTCTAGTTTAAAAGTTTTTAAACGTTCAGGCTGCAGATATAGCTCAATGGTAGAGGATTCAAGAGCCCCTGGGTTTGATCCTTGCACCGAAAGAAAAGTTTGAATATTCTTAGTGAAAATAAAGTGTTCAGGGGGCTGGGTGCAGTGGTGCATGCCTATAATCCCAGTGGCTCGGGAGGCTGAGGCAGGAGGATCTCAAGTTCAAAGCCAGCCTCAGCAACTTAGCAAGACCGTCTCTAAATAAAATGTGAAAAGGGGCCTGGGATGTGGCTTAGTGGTTAAGCACCCCTGGGTTCAATCCGAAGTACCAAAAAAAAAAAAAAAAGAAAAGAAAAGAAAGTGTTTGTATTGGATGCATATTCTGTAAACACTTCATAAATATAGTTTGTTTTTAAACAAAGAAAATGCAAATGATAATTCTTAAGGAAAACAATTTGGCTGACACATTGAAAGTGAGAGGCACAAACCTTGAATCATATCCCCAATGCATAGCATAGATTTTAGCTAGGTGGCCTCTCAGCGTACGTCTTGTTCGCATTTGTATTCGACCCACGGAGTCCATATTTGATGTGATCTTCAGAAAGCAATAAAAATGTTATTCTTTACTTTAGATATAGTTCAGGAGATAAACCTGAAATATTCAATTAGTAGGTGATAAAAAGCAGATATAAAATTTATAGTAATTTTCATTCAATTTAAATAATTCTGCAAAATCATTATGGGATCAAAATACTGTTCATAAAAAACTACAGTTAATTTAAAATAACCCTATATGTTTTTATAGGCAAGACTCTTAACTAAAAAGAACAGATAAACCTCTAAACTTTAATAAAAAATCAGCCACCCTAGAGTCTAGGAAGGGAAGTGGGGACTGGGGGGATTGGGTACTGGGTACAGTTATACAGGACAAATAAGTTCTTATGTTCTACAAGGACGTACAGAATACAACAGCCTACCTATTATATATTTTATAAAAAAACTAGAAGAGAGGGCTTGAAGCTTCCCAATACAAAGATATGATAACTGTTGAAGAGAAGGGAAATGCTCATTATCCAGATTTGATCACTACATATTGTGTACCTGCATCACATCATCACATTGTACCTGTAAATATGTACGATCATTATGTATCAATTAAGAAAATTTGCAATTAAACACTCATGAGGATAATCTCCAAGTCATCCGTATCAGTGTCAAGTTACTTCATATGAATCACTAAAACAAATTGGGGGGGGGGGAAACTCTACCTGAACAAGCGTTGCATCATTACATGCTTTCCTGGCATCCTGAAACAAACAAACAAAAAACATGATTATAATCCATTTAGATGTAGAATCCTCTAGATCTTATTAACACTTTATTGAAAATGTAGATTTGCAAGTAATTTTTTTTTTTACCATACATATGATCTTTATTTAAAATGATTTTGAGCTGGGCATACAGGCACCCACCTGTGGTCCCAGCAGCTTGGGAGGCTGAGGCAGGAGGATTGTGATTCAAAGCCAGCCTCAGCAATTTATCGAGGTTCTAAGCAACTTAACGAGACCCTGTCTCTAAATGAAATTTTAAAAATGGATGGGGATGTGGCTCAGTGGTTAAGTGCCCCTGAGTTCAATCCCTGATACCAAGGAAAAAATCATGTTTTAAAATAAAATTTACATAACCTAAAATTAACCATTTTAACCATCTTAAGATATATGATTCAGTAATTTTTAGTATATTTACAATGCTGTACAACATCACCAGTATCTAATTCTAGAACACTTCTATCACCTCCCAAAAAGAATCCCATCCATCCTATTTCTCTTTTTCCATAATTTCTCTGTGATTGCTAATCTTCTTTCTTTCTCTATGGATTTACCTCATCTAAGACGTTTCATATGTGGCCTTTTTTATATTGGCTTCTTTTATTTAGTATAATGTTTTCAAGGTTCAGCTATGTTATAGCATTATTCAGGACCTCATTCCTTTTTATGGCTAATATTCCATTACATGGATATTCCACATTTTGTTTATCCTTTAATCAAAACTGATATGGGTTTTTTTCCCCCCCACTTTTTGGCTATTACAAAAAATGATGCTATGAGCATTCATGTACAAGTTTTTGTGTATAGTTATGTTTTTAATTCTTTGGGGTATTAAATAAGAGTGGAAATGGTGAGTAATATAGAAACTCTGTCAAACTATTTTTTTAACATTTATTTTTTAGTTGTAGTTGGATACAATACCTTTATTTTTGTTTATTTATTTTTATGTGGTGCTAAGGATCGAACCCAGGGCCTTGCATGTACTAGGCGAGCGCTCTACCGCTGAGCCACAACCCCAGCCCTCTGTCAAACTATTATTCACAGAAGTTATATTACATTCCCACCAGAAATGTAGGAGGTTGATTTCTCAATTTCTTCATATCCTCACCAACATTTATTATAATTTATTTTTTAAATTATAGCCATCTTATTAGATGTGAAGAGGTATCTCATTACGGTTTTGCTTTGTTAATGATCAATGATGTTGAGTACCTCTCTTGCACTTACTATTGGAATAATGTCTATTCCAGGTCTTTGCCAGTATTTCAACTGGGTTGTCATTCCACTGTTCAGTTTTGTAGTTCTTTACATATACTGAATACTAAAACCTTATCAGAGGAATAATTGATAAATATTGTCTTCCATTCTTTCAACTGTCCTTTCATTTTCTTGATTGTGTCCTTTAGCACACAAGTTTTTAATTTTGATGAAGTCCAGTTTATCTTTTTCTTTTGGTGTCATATTTAATTTGCCTAATCCAAAGTCAGGAAAATTTACAACTATGTTTCCTTTCAAGAATTTTGTACTTTTGAATGTTACATTTAGGTATCATTTTGAGTTATTATTTATATATGGTGTGAGACAGGGGGTCCAAATTCCTTCCTCTACATGTGGATATCCAAGTGTTCCAGTTCCATTTATTGAAAAGAATATTTTTTCCCTATTGAATGGGTTTATTAAAAATCAGTGGACCATAAATATATGGATGTGTTTATGGACTTTCAAATTGTATACCATTGTACAAACTTCTTTATATACCAGGGATTGAATTTAGGTGCACTTGACCACTGAGCCACATCCCCTGCCCTATTTTGTATTTTATTTAGAGACAGGGTCTCACTGAGTTGCTTAGTGCCTCACTTTTGCTGAGGCTGGCCTTGAATTCGCTCTTCTCCTGCCTCAGCCTCCCAAGACGCTAGGATTACAGGTAATATAATCCCACAGCGCCCCGCACAAACATATTTTTATTTTATGATTTAAAGACTTGTAAAATTGTATCCTGATCTAAAATTATTAAGTTGATTTAATAAGCTCACAGTATTCAGAGTTATATTTATTATTAAGGCTTTAGCAGAAAGTAACATTTATTGATATAGGCAACTGTTATTTGTTGCTACTAGGAAGAAAATGTTTTAGATCCAATATGCAAAAATGTATCTCAGAAATTTTGAGTTGTGTATCTAGCCCAGGCCCTTGCATTTGCTAAGCATATGCTCTACCACTGAGCTATATCTCCAGACACAGTAAAATGATTTTTTTATGTAATAGCAACAATTTACACTGAGTGACATCCATATTTTTATAACAAATTCTTTCCATGTAAGCAGGTGTTTATGTCTTAATTATTATAAGGTATTCTTTCAGTGAAACCTTAAATTTTTATACAAACAGAGGGAAGATGATGAAACAGAAATCAATATAACAAAATAAGGGAGCAATAAATATATTTAAAAAAAATTAAAACACTTTATTTATTTAGGTGCTGAGGATTAAGTCCAGGACCTTGCACATGCTAAGCATGTACTCAACTAGTAAGCTATACCCCAACCCCAGCAAGACATTTTAAACCAAGTTTATCAGTTAATAACAAATTTAGAGAATTGATATACATGCTAGATTTAAGATAATCTCCCCCTCCACAGAGGTTAGTGTAGTATCCTCTTTATTTTATCATTATTATTATTTGCCTACAGTGCTTGGTATACTCCTAGGCAAAGAGAAGACACGCAATATTTACAGAATAAAACCCAACAAAGTCTTTGCAGCACAGACTAGATGGAAGATATGATAATTCTGGCTGCTCTTTCAACCTTCTGGTAAATAGACTATTTCTATGTAAGAGTGTTTTACAACTAGCTGCACAAAAATGTGATTTGATTCTCTCATTCTTAGCCAAATTGTGGGTTTAGAGATCTCATTTGGCAAGGAATAATTTAGCACACTTTTCTGCAATGAAAAGAATGTCTGGAAATGACACTGATGACCTGAGCCATGTTCCAGAAATGGTGCAGTTGAAGTCTAAAATTCTGAAAAAAGGTTCTATGAGTTCAGGTTTTATGAAAATGACCTATCATTGTTCAGGCCTTCTTTCTTGATTCAGTCATCTGGTAAAAGACTCAGATGTGAGTGTCATGCCAGGTACCGCTGTAGTCACCGTACGCACAGCAATGGAAAAATAACAATTTTTTGCCCTCATAGCATTAATATTAGTATTAATAATACAATTTAAGGGCTTTAAATGAAAATCATTAAACTGCAGGAAAAATCAGTACCAAAATTTAAAACACCATGTTGGAATGCAAAAATTTTACTAACATTTTAGCAGCAGTTAGGGGCAAATTTTCATAATTCAAATAATCTACTCACATCAATAATTTATTCTTATGAACACTATTATCCATTATAAAACTAAATATAAAAGAATTCTATGCTGTTCAGCACAACAACAAAAAAATAAAAGATCTGATATTAATATCTTTGTGACAGAAAAAAAAAAAAAAGGAATGTGGCAGATGTGGTGGTGTACCTCTGGAATCCCAATTACTTGGGAGACTGAGTTCAGCCTGGCAAATCAGCAAGACCTTGCCTCAAAATAAAATTTAAAAAGGTTGGAGGTGGAGTTCAGTGCTGAAGTACTGCCTAGCACACGTTAGGCCATGGGTTCAGTCTGTAGTACCACCCCAAAAAGAAGCAGGATAGGTGACATATTTATTGCTATAACTCAATTACAAAAGAAAACAAAATCTATGTTTTCTTTATTTGTCATTTTTTTGAGTTTAAATTTAGTCATATGTTATGCCAAATAGCATACATTTCTATTATGCCATGTATTTCCAACATAGTTAGGTAAACACACAGATTTTATTTCTGGAAGGAAGGGGGAAAGAGAAGAAAAAAAGGAGGGAGGGAGGGTATTTAACTATAGTGTGACATGATTATACTGAGGAAAAAGTGCCTGATATTTTATATACACATACTTGAAATCATGGGAGGAGAGGAGTCAGTGAACCTGTACCCATGACATTGTGCCTGGAATTCTGGTTGGATATAGAAATGATTAAAATAGAATATTCAATGTAACTAAAGCAGAAGGGGTAAATGCAAACAAAGGACTAAAATACAGAGCAGACTAACAACCCTGTCATCACAGAGGCCTACAGTGCTATATGAGTGAGGAACTGCCCCTCATCAGCATTAGCATAAGTCCTGTATGTGTTATTTAATCCCCAGCACAAACCTATAAGGTGGGCATTGGTATTCTTGCTTCACAGCAAAAACACTGAGTGTCAAAAATGTTAGAGACCTGCCTGCAGCGACACATGATAAAAAGTGTAATCCATACACATTGTTTCACCATGACACCAATAAGAGAAAGAGAATGAATCCAATCATAGGACTCTCATAAGGCTTTTAGAGGAGGAACAGGATTCAATGGATAGGATTCGAGAGAGAAAAATTGGAGAAGAGGTAGTAGAACTCCAGGCAAATGAAACAATTTGATAAAAGACAACGAAATAGGAGAGAGCAACACATGTTCAAGGGACACAAAAATGGCAACCAGGCTAGATTGACTAGAGCACAGGCTGCAGGGAAAGGTATTAAATATGGTCAGGAGGCAGTGCATCCTTGGTGACAGAGCACAGGCCTTAGAGTCCAAACATGGTATCTGAGTGATGAATCCGGTACTTACTAGTTAGGTTTCCTTGGCAAGTTATTTGATCTCACTGAGCCTTGATCTCCTCAACCTTGCCAAATTTTTTAATCTCAATGAGCCTCAGTTTCCTCAACTATAAAATGAATCAACACCAGCTTTTCACAGGACAGCTATCAGGATGATAGGAGGTGGGCATGTGACCATGTCTGGCCAATCATCATTGTTCCTCTTAACATCTGGAGTACATGATATAAAGTCAGGATGTCAGAGAGAATTCTATAATTCTATATACAGCAAATATACATTCTGGTGGTTGGCAGTATAGATGTAGCACTCCTAGACTGAAAAAATCCAACACTTGGGCACTATCACCATGCCACAAGTGGAAAATTCTACACACGGCCTCATGTGACAAGTTCCAGTCAAAACACAGATACACTAAAAATATATAAAATTACCTTCAATCTATGTGCGTAAGGTATATATGAAACACAAATGAACTTTGGGTTCAGACTTGGGTCCCATCTCCAAGATATCTCATTATGCATATATAAATATACCAAAATCCAAAAAGATCTGAAATCCAAAATATTCCTTGTCCCAAGCATTTCAGAGAACAGATACTCAACTGTAATATCTAATTCAGAGACTTGTTTGTGAAGTCTTTTATGAGCATCTCAGGCAAAATAAATCCCTCCTTTGTTCTGACAGCTTTGTACAGACATAAGGTATCAACTCAGAGTTCTTGCTCACAACTAAATTGTTAACTTCCTTGAATTCCTGGTAATAAGTCTGGTTATGACTTCACTCAGATCAACTCTTTATGATGAGTGTTTTTTTTAATATTTATTTTTCAGTTGTAGTTGGACACAATATCTTTATTTTATTTATTAAATTTTTTATGTGGTGCTGAGGATCAAACCCAGGGCCTCACACGTCCTAGGCAAGCACTGTACTGCCACTGAGCCACAATCCCAGCCCTGATAAGTGTTTTTTTAATGTGTTTTTGTTGTTGTTGTTGTTGTTGTTGTTTTGTTTTGGTACTAGGGATTGAACCTAGGGGAGCCACATCCCCAGCCCTTTTTATTTTGAGACGGTGTCTCCTTTAGTTGTTCAGGCACTTGCTAAATTGCTGAGGTTAACCTTGAACTTGAGTTCCTCCTGCCTCAGCCTCCTCAGTCGATGGGATTTCAAGCATGCACCACCAGCCCAGTATGGTGAGTGTTCTTTACCCTTCCCTTGATTTTCCTCTTCCTTTTCTCTCTCTCTTCTGAAATAGCTATTACCAAAGATCCAGATTGGGAAGAGTCACAGCTATATTCCAAGCTACCAGAGATTCTCCCACTTTGTGCTGAAGTTCTTCATCTATATTTGCAAGCTGTTTTAGCTTTTACTTTTCCCTGTGAAAAGAAGCAGGCAGCTGCCAGGCTACTCACAATTCAGTCTCTCCTCTATCCAGCTCTCCAGGAGGCATACCTACATTCTTTCATTTTTAACTCTGCCTTCTTGATATTCCTTAGTGAGTGCCAACAAAGTTCAAGCAAGCATCTGTTTCACTGTTCCAAAGAAGGGATTGTTGGAGCTGTCCCTTGGAGAGTGCTTCCTACTTTGTATGAGATTTACAGCTACGAGCACCTCTGTCGGAATTGTCCCACAGGCTGCTGCATTTGGCAAACCTTCTCCATCCTTTTATGGCTTGAAGTTCTAAGAGCATTTTAATTTTGCTAAGGCCAGAGCTTGTATTTGTTTCTTATCCTTTTTATTGTCTTGAGCTGATTTCCAAGACTAAAAGAGGTCAGATCTGCCCTTGATCTTGCCTTTTGTAATTTTTGACATTTCTGTGATTTAATGTCTTACAGATTCACATTTCCTACTTTATCACAGTGTAATGTCTGCCTCACTGTATTGCACCAAAAATCTAGATTCCAGGTGTATGAGTAAGAAGAGAATTGTTTAGCTGAGCTTACAGACATACCTACTATTAACCTCTTAGGGGCATGGAAACCACTTGTGGGCATAGGCACTTATCAGGAATCATTTTCAGAGCATTCATTAGAAGCAAGATTAAAAAAAAATTGACCATTTCTGGCCTTACAAATTACTTAATGTATGTAAACTGACATACTCGGGAATTTTATACATTGCTGATACTGAAAAAAAAGTGTAAAAGCTGGGGCTGGGGATGTAGCTCAGTGGCAGAGTGCTTGTTAGCATGCATAGGGCTCTGGGTTCAATCCTTAGCACTGAGATTGGCCGGAGTGGTGGGGTTGTGGGGAAAAGCATTAAAATTTCAAAATGAAGTTCTTACCTGGATCTGATTCCGCAGTTGTTCTGCTTCCTGCCTCAATTGTTCCAGTTCACTCATCCTTTGAATCTGTTTACCTCAGTAATTACCAAGTAAAAGTAACTGTTGAGAGAGAGGATAGAGAGAGAGAGGTTGACACTTAGTTGTCCATCTTCAAATTTACTTTTAAGACACTAACATATAATTGTTTTTAGCCCTTCTGAAACTCTGGTCGATTATTACTAAAATTGACAGTTGCTTAGTAAGTATGGATCTGGGTCATTTACCGAAGAGTTTTATGGAGGAATGTGATGTGAAAGTTGTCAGCACCAAAACAGCCACTTATGTCAAACCCTGACAAAACAGAGCTGGAGGCCATGAAGGAGGAGCCCCCAGACATGTGCCTATGAAGGAACCACCCAAGGAATTTCTGGAAACTACAGTGTTCTAGATAAGCCTGCACGCAGACACTTGCCTCACAGCTGCCTCCGCCATGGGCTAACACCAGCTCCTGCAACAAGCTATGGGAGCCAAAGGGCTTTGTTTCAAAACAGTGTCTGTGGACTTTGACCTTTTTTCTTTCGAAATCCTCTCCTTGCCCCAACTTCTTCGGATGCACCTATAGTCCCCCATACCATACATATCCCAGACAACAATCCCTCGCTGTCTAGGGGGGAAAATCTTGTTTTGGACCATTGGTCTTTCTGTCACTCATGTTAGGCTAAGAGTGATCAGAAGAATCCTCGAGTTGTAGTATTTAAAAATGAATTATAAACTGGGTATGGTAGTGTCCACCTGTAATCCCAGTGACTTGGGAGGCTGAAGATCACAAGTTTGAGGCCAGCCTGGGCAACTTAGTGAGATCCTGTCTCAAAAAAAAAAAAAAAAAAAAAAAAGGAAAAGGAAAGGAAAGAAAATGGCTAGGGATATAGCTCAGTGGTAGAGCACCCCTGGGTTCAATGGGAAACCTGCCCCCCATACACAGACAAACTAAATTATACAGAAACGGTGCTGGACAGGAGTCCAGTGAGAAACACTTTACAGCAGTTCACAGAGCAGCACTCAACATCTCCAACTGGCCTCCATATATGCACCTCAAATTCAAAGCTTCAAAACTGAATCCACTCCATCTGCAAATCCTCCTCATTTCAGTAAACAGCAATTCCATTCTTCCAACTATTAAAGATAAAAATCTGAGAGTCATCCTTAATTTCTGCTTCTCTCCCACCCTCCCCCTCTAATCCATCAGCAAATCAAGTCAATTATTCCTTACAATATTATTCAGGATCTGACTGATTCTGATTACTTCCTTTACCTTGATGCAAGTCCTCATTATCTCTCACCTGGTCTCCTTCCTACTGACAGGATCGCTCTCAGTCTAATCTAGGCAGAGCAAGTCGATTATTACTAAAATACCACTAAATATCACTCTTAAAATACAAGTCACTCTTAGGCTTTAAATTCTGCAATGGTTTTCTGCTTCACTCAGAGTAAAGCCAACTCTGTATCTTGACCTAAGGAGCTGTACCTGTCTCATACATACCCGCACCCTACACACACCTACTCTTCCTTTGCCCCTCCCTTTTCTCCTCCAGTTGCTCAAAAGCTTTCTTGCTGTTCTCTGATTACACTAAGCGGACTCCAGCCTCAGCGTCTTTCATTCCCCCTTCCCTTGGCCTGGACCACTCTTGCCTGTGACAGTTTCATCGCTTGCTTTCTTGTGTCTGCTCAGATGTTATCCTCTCAGAGGAGCCTTTGCTGATAGCACACACACACACACCCAACCTTCTCCCTTTCTAGGTCACCTACCCTGTCCTATATTTCACTATAGGACTCAACACAATTGAGCATGTATTTACCTATCTGTGACCTGTTTCCCCCTTACAGAAAACAAGTTCCTATACTGGGGCAGGGTTTTGGTTTGCTTTACTCTTTGCTATACACCCAGCACTTATGACACTTGGTTTTCCAATAAATAAGCGAACCTTAAATTAGCTTAAGAAATAAAGGAAAACTCATTCTAAGGAATTAGAATAAATCACAGAACCAAAAGGCAGGAATATTACCATTTTAGGAAGAGATTTCCCCTATTGTGTTTTTACATCTTGTTTGTTGGAATCAGGATCCAATTAAGTACTACATGATACATTTTGTCATGTCTCTTAAGGCTCTCCAACTAGAAATAGCCATCTCTTGCTTTTTTCCCCCCTGTGATATTGATTCACTAGAGACTAAGTTATTTGTCCTTAGAATGTCCCACTTTCTATTTACATCTTGATGCTACTGTTTGTTTACTTACCCTCTACACTACCTGTAAACTGGAAGTTAGATTGACAGGATAGAATATATTCAGGTTAGAATATATTGTATGTATAGAATATACATACATATATATGGCAAGAATTAGGTGATCTATGGACTTCTTTTTTAAATATTTTTTTAGTTGTGGATGGACATAATAACTTTATTTTTATGTGGTGCTGAGGATCGAAACCAGTGCCTCACACATGCAAGGCGCATGCTCTACCACTGAGCCACAAGCCCAGCCCTGGACTTCTTCATACTACAATACATCAGAATGAACTTCCTGTTTTCTTTATGCCACTGCTAGTGACTCTCAGCTTGGTCAGTAAGTTCAGTTGTTAACAGTGTAATCTATCTAGTGGGGTGCTGGGTTTCGGTTAGCAACTAAAAGGCTCAGGGGCCACTCCAGTTAAATTGGGCTAATTGGGCTGTGCAAAATAACCACACAAGAGACACAAATATCTTTTTCTTTGGAGTCGCTGTGAAGGCTCCTCTGATCTTAAGGGTCCGCAGGAAAAGAGAGAGCTAGAGCACACGCTGACCCCTTTTATTGAGGAGAAGCTATTCAAATGAGGTAAGGGGTCAGGTTACAGGGCGCTGAGTCTATCTTCATGATGTCCACTGTCAGCAGGTTGACTGACATCTGGGTAGGCCACACCCAAGGGCACAGTAAGAGAAGAGGACACACACTAGGCACTTCCATGGAAGATTCTATCCTAAACAGGGCAAGGGGTTACATTACAAAGGAACAGGTGAGCATAGCTTCACCCATGGGGCTGTAGCAAGACACACCCAAGCATGAGACACCGATCCTAAGAAGGGTGGGGAAAGCTCTGCCACATTTCTGTGACTGAGCGCCTCAGCACCAGCTGGGGAGTGTGACTCAGTCAAGTGCAAGGTTGGTCTCCCACAGAGGGGGACTACAGCTTTATGGTTTCATTCAGTAAGTTATCTGCAAGGAGCCTCTGACTTTCAACTGGATTCTTACCATTAGCAGTTAAACATGCCCAAGTCTCTCCCTTTAAAAAGAGTGTGGTGGGGAGGAGAAGGCAGTCAGAGGCTACGGCAGTTTTGGTTCAAGTGGATCCAGGGACAGCTCGTGCTGGTTGGTACCATCCATATATGCTGGCTTTGCAAGCCTGCAGAATGTAAGAGTTATGGAGTCTTGGAAGCTTCCACCAAGATTTTAAACGGAAAGCCTGAGTAGCTGAGCAGTGTGCTATGGAGTGGAATGGAAATGTGGGAGTGAAGCTAAAAGTGCAACGGAGACCCAGGGAAGGTGAAGACGTCAGCAATGGGCAACACTTGTCAAGGAAAGCTATGGGCAGCACAGAGAGTCAGCCCAAGAGAGTGGACATGTGCACTGCCTCTAGCAAGGCTGAAAGAACAGGGCTTCCCAAGTCCTGGCAGCCCACATCTTGCCACAGTGTAACCTGGATGGAGCCTCAGGATTTAATGTTTACCCTACTGTGTTCTGGTCTTGATTCAGACTGATCCTTCCTTATTATTTTCCTATTCCAAGCTTTTGAAATAAGAACATTTACCTTGCGCTTATCTTACCATTGTGTCTTGGAAGTATGTGACTTTCTTTTTTATTTTTATGGGTCTCACATTTGAGTTTGTCTGGAGTCTTAAAGAAGACTTTGTACTTAAACATTTGACCAATGCTGGAACAGTTAAGACCCTAAGGACTCATGGCGATGGACTACATGCATTTTGCATTATAAGATGAACACAAGCCACTGGAGGCCAGGGCTGGAATGCTATAGTTTGGATGAGTATTCCCCAAAGGTCTATGTGTTAAAGGCTCAACCCCCAGTGTGATATTCTTGGGAGGTGTGAAACCTTTAAGAGGTGGGGCCTTACAGGAGGCTCTTAGGTCACCGAGGGCCTTGAAGGGAATAGGGGACCCCAGGTCACTTTCTCCTCTTTTTGCCTCCTGGCTGATAAGGTGAGTGGTTTGCTCTGCCCTATAGTCAAACCATGGCACAAGGTTATGGGACTAATTTTCATGAGCTGGAACCTCCAAATCTGTGAGCCAAAATAAACCTTTTCCCTTTCTTTATAAAAAATATTTTTTTCCTTGACCATACATCTCACCATCACCTACAATCCTTCTCTTAATTAAATACTAAATTTCTCTCTTAACTAAATACTAAAATTCTCTAAATTAAATAAAGAGAGCTGCCTATCCATGACCCCATTTCCTCATGTGGAATTCTGAATTCTCAAACCTTGTTCATGTCTAGTAAACCTGGGCTGATTAAACAGGCATGATGGAAAGGGAGTGGGCAGCTATAAGGCAAGAGGCTGTCTGAGAAATGTTTCTAAGCCACAAAACCAAAATCCTTGTGATGCTAGTGCCAGACAACTGTGAACTTTCTTTGGACAATGTCAAAGCTGCCTTTCCTCTGTTCTTCCCTTTCTGCTGCTAAATAGAGGAACTAACTTTTCTTTTTTTTTTTTTAATTTTTATTTTGAGAGAGAGAGAGAGAGAGAGAATTTTTTAATATTTATTTTTTAGTTCTCGGCGGACACAACATCTTTGTTTGTATGTGGTGCTGAGGATCGAACCGGGCCGCACACATGCCAGGCGAGAGCGCTACCGCTTGAGCCACATCCCCAGCCCTAACTTTTCATTCTTTAAGAAAATCAGGATAGAGAACATATTGCACAGATTTCCTAGGTTAATTTTTTCTTCTTGTTCAACAATTGTCAGATTCTTTAGAGTAACAATAAAGTGCAATTCTAACGTAAACTCATAGACAAGCCTAGAGGCTATCTAGGGTAAAATGAGGCTATAAGATGCCCCAGGTGAA